GCTTTCTGTTCTGTATGCTTATTATTATTTTTTCCTTTCTCTATTGCACTGGCTAGCGCTTCTGGTGCTATGTTGAATAAAACAGGTGACAGCCAACAATTTTTCCTTGTTCCCAATCTTAAGTGGAAAATATTTATTTAACATTATACTTAATTTTGCATTAAGTATAATGTTAACTATAGGTATTTTGTGGATCTTCTTACTTGAACCTAAGACATCGTTTGTCTTTTTCAACCTTATTCCCTCATTAAGTATACATTGGAGTTTTCCAGTAGCTACATGATGATATTGCAACAGATAAAATGTAGAAGCAAGAATGAAAAATCTAGCTACCTTCTATTAAGCCCAACATTAAAGATATTTGCAAATTTGTAAAAAAAAATTGTCACCCTATCACTAACTTATTTTGTTTGGGAAACATAGTAATTGTTCATAAAATATGTTGTGTTGTTGCTTAATGAATTAATAAATGTATTAAATTTTATCAGTTTTAATTTCTGATATAGTAAATGTCTATAGATATAATCCACATAATCACTACAGTCTTTGAGGTCTTCAATAAATTTTAAGAGCGTTAATGGGCCTTGAGTCCAAAAAGTTTACAAGTCATTTCTCAAGGCTATCAGAAATCTTAAAATCTACTAAAGTTGGACCGGGTGCAGTGGTTCATGCCTATAATCCCAGCACTTTGGGAGGCCAAGGTGGGGGATCAGAAGGTCAGGAGACAGAGACTATCCTGGCCAACATGGTGAAACCCTGTCTCTACTAAAATACAAAAACTAGCCAGGCATAGTGGCACTCACCTGTAGTCCTAGCTACGTGGGAGGCTGAGACAGGAGAATCTCTTGAGCCCAAGAGGCGGTGGTTGCAGCAAGCAGAGATCATGACACAGCACTCCAAATGGAGTGAGACTCCTCTCAAAAAAAAAAAAATCTACTAAAGTTGATATTTAATTTATGATATTTGTCCTGCATGTAAGTATGTTGCTGGAGACATAAATATGCTCCAGAAATTAGTTCTATAAATACGTGACTGAATCACTGTTTCAGGGTATTTTTCGCATGCTTCTTGCTAACCTTTTCTTGAAAGAATGTGCTGTTGACCATGAATCTTCTCTTCCATGTAATAAAAGGGCAACACAACCAGAAGAAAAGATTTGCTTTTGGAAACTTTATATAAATAAACATACATTCAATAAATATTGAATGCCTGTTTTGTGTACTACATTTATAGCAGTAATGAAAACAGACAAATGTTTGCTTTCAGGGAGCTTGTTTTCTAGTTACAGGAAAATTAAAATAAATAAATAATAATACACCATACACTGAAGGACAAGTAGACATAGAAATTCATAGCCAGGACGGACACACTGGCTCACACTCATAATCCCAGCACTTTCAGAGACCGAGGAGGAGGGGTCACTTGAACCCAGGAGTTTGAGACCTGTCAGGGAAACATAGCGAGACTTCCTATCTCTATTTTTTAAATTATTTAAAAACATATAAAAAACAGAAATTAAAAGAAAGAAATAAAGAAATTTGTCACCAGTCGAGGTCTTTCTTGCTCAGGGGGTAAGAAATCCTGGCATGGGAAAGTTTCTTCTAGCATTAAAGCCAGGGATAAATCATACTTCTACTTACAGAGCACAAATATTAGGGTGACTGTGTCACCTATTGCTGGGTCAAAGTGCTTAGCTTCTCTATTTTTCCTCCATCCTTTTTCTTTGCTTTGCCTTGTATAGAATGCTTGTCAAGTTTGAACATTATTGTAGAGGTTTCTTCTTTTAAGTGTATTATTTAGTACACTTCTAAGTGTTCTAAAATGTGTATTATTGCACTAGAACATGTAACTGACCTCTACTCCTAAGGGAGTTATAAAAGAAAAAAGACATTAATTTAAATCAGGAAGTTATCCATCAACTTTTCCTTATCCTCTGACTATTTTAATGATGATATAGCAAACAGCCCCACATTTTTTTTAATAAACAAAAATAGCAATCTTGTGAAGAATGTGTTTCCTGCTGCTGTGAGAAACAGTGTTCTAGGTGGCATGCTGGCCTTAATTTGTTTGCATTTAGCCTTGTTCCAAGATAAGGAGAGATGCTGGAAATCATTCCTGCTACAGTCAACCACAGCCAACGTGATGGCACCTGAAACCCAGTAAGAATAGGTAATGTGGTAAGCCAGAGTGTGCAGAAGGCCCCCTGGCTTAATAAGCAATGCCTTAAAATATCCCATCAAGTTGTTGTTGTTATTAATTTTGTGCATTCATTAATATAATTATATATTTTTAATTTCTGTAACAACCTCAGGAAAAATACATATTGTTTCCTTCAGTGATACTCTAATCTGGTGGATGATTCTCATGTTTATAACATTTCCCTAGTCTGCAAATATTATCACTAAGTAATTGGATGTGCTTAATTATGTGAGTGAGAACATTTAAAGTGATAATGATTTGGCATAATTTATGCAATAAGGAGACTGTTGTGAAAAACTGCTCTTGACTGGTCATTTTCTTTACCTCCACCATTACAGCAGTCCTCTTACTTTTCAGGCATTTGTCTTTTCTTCAGAAACACAGCACTGAGAGTGATTTCTTGTCTAAGTAAACTTTTCATATATTCATTTTCCAATTACTTAGAGCTCAGATATCTGTCTGAATATACTCAGATGTGAATGAAATGTATTAAGTGATTGTGGCCCCATAGAAATAACGCTTTTTGTTTTTTCTGTTGATAAAGTTTCATCTCGGTGTCTATTATTTCAAAAATGATCTCATGGTATTCCTATATCCCAGCAGACAATTATTCATGTAATGTATTTATTGAGCCCCACTCTGTGCCAACCACAAAGCAAGAGTCTAGATTTGTATGCCTGGTGCTGATAACCCATAGCATCCATGCCTTGTTTAAATCTTTATGCAATTAATTCTCTGCAATCTTCATTTTCAAATTATGCTCAAAGCATTTTTAAGATCTGTCCTACTATGGCCCCCTGTGATGTGAGGACAGAAATTCAAATAGCTTAAACTCCAAGCCCTGTCTTGGCTGCTGTTCTTACTTTTAAATATTGAACTTTTTAATTTAAGATTTCATTCAAAGAAAGAGTTGTAAAGCTGACAGAAAAACCTAGTCATAAACGAACTAGCAAGATAAAAAGATACTTTCCCCCAAGTCAACCTATATTTATTTAACATTAACCAATGTGCTAGATGATAAATTTTGCTGATTCTGAGATTTTAATAGAATTGACCCAAATTAGAGATTCTTAAAATGTGTTTATCTCGGCTCCCTTTACAAATCTTAAAATTGTTAAGGACCACAAAGGGGTCTTTTAAAAGGGAGAATTATTATCTGTCAATATTTATCTTATTAGATATTTTAATTTCTGAAAAAACTTTAAAATATTTAATGATTTATTTTTAAGACAAGTGAATTTCATGTGAACATACATAAGCCATTGCTATGAAAATATATTTTCAAAACAAAAAGTAGTGAATGGCATGATTTTCTATTTTTGCAAATCTCTTCAACATATGATACAACAGAAGCGTGCTAAATTCCTAAATCTGTTGCAATATCACATGTCATGTAGCCTCTGGGAAACCACTGTATGCTCATGAGAGAATAAAAATGAAAATGGCCAATAGTATTTCAGTGTAATTTTGAAAAATGTTTTGATCCTGTGGACTCACTGAAAATGTCTCCAGGACTCCTTGGAGTGCCCAGTCACACTTTGAGAATTACTAACCTAAGAGTTATTTTAGAAAATCATTGATACACTCAAAGTTATAGAAAGCAACACATAAAATAATTTCAAAAAGAACAAATAGTTGTCATAAATATAAACAGCACTAGGTATATAAGCTCCAAAACTAAGTTTATCCTGTTTGCAGATGGTATGACCTTCTGCATAGGAAATCTCAAGAAATCTACTAAAAAAAATACTTCCTAGAACTATAAAGTTAATTGATCAAGGTTGTAGAGTACAAGAGCAAAGTAAAATGGCAATTCGATTTCTATATGCTGACAACACATGAAAACCAAAATTAAAAACAGTATCATTTATGTTCACTTCAAATTAAATACTTAGGTAGAAACCAACAAAACATATACAGGATCTGCATGCTGAATATAAAATGCTGTTGAAAAAAATCAAAGACCTACATAGAGGGACATTGTGTACATAGGTCGGAAGATACAACATAGAAAAGGTGTTCATTCTCCTGAAATTGAGCTACAGGTTTAATGGAATTCCTACCAAACTCCTAGCAAAGTGTTTTATAAACATAGTTAATCTTATTCCAGAATATATATGAAAGGGTAAAGGGCTTATATTAGCTAAAACCTTTTTAAAAATAATAAAGTGCAAGGAATCACTCTACTCAATATTGAGGCTGACTATAGAGCTATAGGATTCAAGCCTGATTTTGCTGAGGAATTGATTACTGGAACAAAATAGAAAACCTAGAAATAGTTCACACAAATATGCCCAAGTGGTTTTTGACAAAACTGAAACCCAATTCGGTGCTGGATAAATTAGATATGCATAGGCAAAACAAAACAAAAATAAAAAACATGCACAGAACCTTGACCTAAACTTCATACCTTATACAAAAAATAACCAAAAATAGATCATGAACTTAAATGTAAATGTGAAAATCTAAAGCTTTTAGAAGAAAACAAAGGAGAAACTCTTCAGAAATTAAGATAGGCAAAATTTTTGGACTTGACACCAAAAACAGGATCATAAGAGGAAAAATTAAACTATAGTTCATCAAACTAAACATAGTGCTCTGTAAAAGACTCTGTTAAGAAGACACATAAAGAAGCTATAAACTGAGAGCTAATCTGTCTGACAAAGGACTTATAACCAAAATATATAAAGAAATTTCAAAACTCAGTATTTTTTTTAAATCAATGATTCAATTCTAAAATGGGCAAAAAGACATTTAAACAAAGAGGATGTACAGATAGAAAATAAATGCATAAGGACTAGCTTTCCGTGCGGTGCGTCTAGTGAGGCTCCGGTCCTCCTCCTCCTGCCGCAGGGCCAAAACCCCTGACAGTATACAGCTGCGCTTAAGCCTGGCCAGTGTCATCTGTGTCCACAATGCCCCCCAAGAAACAGGCTCAGGCCGGGGGCAGCAAAAAAGCAGAGCAGAAAAAGAAGGAGAAGATTATTGAAGACAAAACTTTTGGTTTGAAGAATAAGAAAGGAGCAAAGCAGCAGAAATTTATCAAGGCTGTTACACATCAGGTTAAATTTGGTCAACAAAATCCACATCAGGTAGCACAGAGTGAAGCTGAAAAGAAATTGAAGAAGGATGACAAGAAGAAAGAATTGCAGGAGCTAAATGAACTGTTCAAACCTGTAGCTGCTGCTCAAAAAATAAGTAAAGGTGCAGATCCCAAGTCTGTGGTATGTGCATTCTTCAAGCAAGGACAGTGTACTAAAGGAGATAGGTGTAAGTTCTCTCATGACTTGACTCTGGAGAGAAAATGTGAAAAGTGAAGTGTTTACATTGATGCAAGAGATGAAGAACTTGAAAAAGATACTATGGATAATTGGGATGAGAAAAAGCTGGAAGAAGTAGTGAACAAGAAGCACGGTGAGGCGGAAAAGAAAAAACCGAAAACTCAAACAGTGTGCAAGCATTTCCTTGAAGCTATTAAAAACAACAAGTATGGCTGGTTTTGGGTATGCCCTGGCGGGGGTGATATTTGCATGTATCGTCATGCTCTTCCTCCTGGATTTGTGTTGAAAAAAGGTAAAAAGAAAGAATAGAAAGAAGATGAAATTTCATTAGAAGATCTAATTGAAAGAGAGCGTTCTGCCCTAGGTCCAAATGTTACCAAAATCACTCTAGAATCTTTTCTTGCATGGAAGAAAAGGAAAAGACAAGAAAAGATTGATAAACTTGAACAAGACATAGAAAGAAGGAAAGCTGACTTCAAAGCAGGGAAAGCACTAGTGATCAGTGGTCGTGAAGTGTTTGAATTTCATCCTGAACTGGTCAATGATGATGATGAAGAAGCAGATGATACCCACTACACCCAGGGAACAGGTGGTGATGAGGTTGATGATTCAGTGAGCATAAATGACATAGATTTAAGCCAGTACATCCCAAGAGATGTAGATGAAACAGGTATTACTGTAACCAGTCTTGAAAGATTCAGCACATACACTTCCGATAAAGATGAAAACAAATTAAGTGAAGCTTCTGGAGGTAGGGCTGAAAATCGTGAAAGAAGTGACTTGGAAGAGGACAACGAAAGAGAAGGACCAGAAAATGGAGCTATTGATGCTGTTCCTGTTGATGAAAATCTTTTCACTGGAGAGGATTTGGATGAACTAGAAGAAGAATTAAATACACTTGATTTAGAAGAATGACACCAAACAAGTCGATGAAAAAATTAAGTCAGCTCAGCATGAGTTGAAATTGACTACATTAATTTTTTCCACCTAGAATCAACAGGATGTTTATTTCCCATGCTGATTCTGGAGGACTTACCCTCCTACAAAAAAGGAATATTGTTCCTACATCTTCTCTTCTGACTTTGGCTTCATCTCATAGTAAGTTCAGACTAGTTCATGATAAATTGAAAATATAATGGTCATTGCAGAAAATGATTGATTGTTGTAACTATCCACCCAAGTAAGAAGTGTATCTGCTTTTCAATCTTTTGGTTTTCATTTGGGCATGTGCTATTACCAGAAACAACAAACTTACATTTAAAATACCCTTCATTTGACAGAGTTTTTAATGAGTGATTTAATTTCCTTTGTATTTGTATGTTTAGAAAACTGCCTAAAACGTGAGCACTGTACTTCATAAAGGAAACTGCATATGCAGAGTCAGTATTGTATATCTTTGGACAATTAGATGGACATTTAAAATGGAACTTCTTTTATCTGACAGGATCAGCTACAATGCCCTGTGTTAAATTGTTTAAAAGTTTTCCCTTTTCTTTTTTGCCAATAAAGTTGTAAATAAAGACTACCATAAAAAAAAAAGAAAGAAATGCATAAAAAGATGTTCAACATCAGTAGCCATTAGGGTAATGCAAATTTAAGCCATAATGAGATATCACTATACAACTTTAGAATGGCTAAAATAAAAAATAATAAAAATGCCAAATGTAAGTGAGGATACAGAGAAACTAGATGACTTACACATTGCTTGTAGAAATGTAAAATGATAGAGCCACTCCAAAAAATAGTTTGGAAGACTTTCCAAAACGACACATAAATTTACTGTATAACCTAGTAATTGTTATCGGATATTTATGGCACAAAAATGGAAATTAATGTTCATATAAAAAACTATACGTAAATGTTTATAGCAGCTGTCCTTGTAATAACCCCAAACTGGAAACAACCCAGATGTCCTTCAGTGAGTTAATGGCTGAATGGATTATGGAGCATCTATAACATGCATTGCTACTCACAATGAAAAGAAATGAACTATTTTTTCTATTTTTAAAAGGCAAGATTTCACTCAGTTGTACAGGCTGGAGTGCAGTGGCATGATCATAGTCCACTGCTGCAGCCTGGACCTCCTAGGCCTAAGAGATCCTCCTACCTCAGCCTCCAGAGTAGCTGGAACTACAGAATGTAATACCATGCCTGGCTAATTCTTTAATTATTATTTTTAGTAGAGATGTGGTCTCACTATGATGCTCAAGCTGGTCACAAAAAAATATCACTGATACACCAACGACTTGGATTTATCTCAAGGGATTTCACTAAATGAAAAAGCCAATTCCACAAAACTACATACTCTATGATTTTATTTATGTTGTTCTTGAAATAACATAATTATTGAAACTTAGACTGGATTGGTAGTTGCCAAATGTTAGGGGTAGAGAGAACAGGGATGGGTATCCTTATAAAGTGGCATGAGACAGCCTTGTGGTGATGGAACAGCTCCGTATATTGATTGTCATTGTGTTTGCACAAATCTACACAAGTGATAAAATTGCATAGAACCACACACACGCATGGGTGTGTGGATGTCAAACTGATCAAACCTGAATTAGCTCTGTGGGTTATAATCCATGTTAATTTACTGGTTTTGATATTATGCTATAGTTGTGCAATATGTTATAATTAGAGAAAATTTAGTGAAAAATACATGGGACCTCCCTGTACATTTTTGCCACTTCCTATGAATCTATAATTGTTGTGAAATAGAAAGCCTAAAAAAAATAACTAAGGCCAATGTATGACCTCAGAGTAGAAACCACGTAAAACACATCTGAAAGGAAAACAAAGCTCAGAGTTTGTGAATAGCTAAATAAATGGGTCATGTTATTATTGCACAGACCTCTACAGTATAGGGTCCAGTGCGCCTAGCCAAGGATAAAACACTATCAACAGCCACCAGCATGGAAAGGACTGAGTAAACTCCTAACCAGAACATGAGCATGTAATTCATTACTTTGATTCAATTCCTTTGGCAGCTATCATCCTATCCTACTGGAGGAAGTCTTCTCTAACTTCAAAATGTTTGTGCCAGTTTTAAACTGATCCAATCACACAGTTATGCATTCATAATTTCCAGGTCAAAATCTGATGTCACCATTTAACATAATCAAAATAGCACACGTTCTTAAATCAAAAGGTCTGATGTCTTAAAGTTTATCATTCATTCAAATGGGTTGTTACTATGATAACTAAAGTCATGAAAAAACTGTTATACAAAAAAATTAAAACGTTGAAGACCAACTTTAAATTAATTTCAATAAAACAAATATTAGTTAAGAAACTATTGCTAGGCTAACTAGCTTATGTTAATAAAAGCCTGCATTGCCAAACTGGTAACCTACTGATTTTAGTGGAATTTCTAGAGATGTGGAATGTACTCTCACTCTTCAGAAGTAACTGGTTGGGACATGCATTTGGAAAAAAAAAATGCATTAAAATTTTGTTTAAGAGAGATGATATCTAGGAATTAAGCTATTCATTTTTTCCTTTTCTTTCTTCTAATAGAGCGTAGAAATGCCAAAATGTCCAGAATTGATCAACAAAATGATATGTTAACCTCAAAAGGACAAAATTAAATTGATGACTTGACTTAGAATTCTTTGACTGGTGTTGTGAAAACTGCCAGTTTCTTCTGCAATTGCAATGAAGCTCACTGTTGGCAAGAACTGCTAACTATAATCCACATCAGCTTTCAAAAAGCTTCATTGTAGTGTTTTAATTCAATGTCATTTAAAGTTTGTGTGTTGGCATTTACACATCAGGTGACATTTCCAATTCCGCATTTATATATAAGTTATGAGATTGAGAGAACACACACCATTAGTAATATATATCAATATGTTAACATTAATATAAATTATCAACATTAATATACTAATATAAAGTAATATATCAGTAAAAGTCACTTGTTACAAAATGCTATAGTCTGAGTGCATCACCAGGAGCCATTATGGTAGAGGGTGTATTTGTAATCAGCATAGCTTCCATCAGCTTTAACAAGAGTGTTTGGACTTTTTAACCCTTTAGGCTCTGACTTTGAACACAACACATGTCAACCAACTTATCCCAAATATGTAAGCACTACAATACAGTGAAAAAGCTAATTTCTAACAAAATCAATGCAGTTCAACCAAAAGCTGGTGTGAACATAGCTAACAAAATCCTAGATTATAGAGTAGAGACAAAGAAAAAAAGATCAGGGTCCTATCTTGAAAAGTTTACAGGTTTTGAATTGACAGTCAAAATAAGGAACTACTCAGGAGGCTGAGGCAAGAAAATTACTTTTGGCCAGGCATTGGATACCAGCCTGAGCTAAAGAGTGAGTCTCCCTCTCTTAAAAATATATTTTTACAAATTAGCGTGGAGTGGTGGTGCATGTTTATAGTCCCAGCTGTCTGAAAAGCTGAAGCAGTAGAATCACTTGAGCTTAGGAGCTCAAGGCTGCAGTGAGCTGTGATTATGCCACTGTAGTTCAGCCTGGTCAATAGAGAGAGACCCCCCCCACAGCCGCGCCATCCTCAAAAAAAAAAAAAAAAAAAAAAAAAAAAAAAAAAAAAAAAAA